ATTCACCGGCCTTACCACATACTCTATTCCTGGTGTCGATTCTAAGACATTTCACTGCCCCAACCCCGTTCCACTTCGGTAATGCATCCCAAACCTCACACTTTCATTAACAGCTTCATTTCTTCCTAGGTCCTCCTGCAACTTTAGGGGGTGAAGGAGACAGGACACTCCTCCATACAGTTCACGGCCCAGCCCAGGGCCAGGAAACCTTGTAATCCAAGACACAAGCCACTTGAAATCACAGCATGTCTGGTGAAAGGACCCCCTGCCCCCAAATTGGTCCGACTCTTATTTTCCTTTACAGCTGGGGACATGAGCCAAGAAAAAGGAAGTGGCTTGCTTGGAGGGACATGGTAGAAAAAGTAACAGCCCTGTTACTCTTGCCAGCTCCCCACTCAGCCCCAGAAGTGAAGCCAGATGGGATCCGGGGTCTTGGCTCCTCTGGAGGGGCCCACAGGGCTGAGCATCCTGTCTGCCCAGCCCTGAGAGCAGGGAGGCCCGAGGTTCAGCACCAGGCCTGCCTCTTCTCCCAGCTGGGATCTCGTCCTTCCCTGTGGGGTCCTCTAGTCTCTTCTTCCTCAGATGCTGTGCTCCCAAGCAAGGCCTCTCTTGGTACTCATTCCCTGCTATCAATCTCCTGGCCTTAGCTGTCCTGTCCCTGGGCTAATACCCCCTCCAATGGCAGCTCTGATCTTCACTGTTCCTACACCCGCCCCCACCCCACTCCCCCCCAGCACAACAGCAGAAGGGCCCTGGCTGGCCTGGGCTGGGCTATCTCCTGCCACATTTAGACTATCTCCCCAAGCACTTGTCTCTTCCAGGATAACTAACGGTTCCCCGGTGGGAGGACAGACCACAGAGTAACTTTGGTTACTCACCAAGTTTACAGGGCCGCTCTGGCTCCCACTGATGGAAAGCTAGGATGTGGATATTCGTGGGGAAGCAGAAACTTGTTCCAGGCTGGGGACAGTTTTAGGCAAGGGTCTGTGCCTGGTTGGTGTGTGTGTGTGTGTGTGTGTGTGTGTGTGTGTGTGTGTGTGTGAAGGGGGCCGTGAGGACCCCTTGCCTAAGTGGGCAGGATGGGGTTAGGGAGCAAGTAGTGGGAATAGGGATAGGCAGACCGTGGAGCCAACAGCCTCACTGATTACAGGGTGTGTCCTTGCAACCCTGTCTTTGGGGCTGACAGATGGTCTGGGACATTCATGGAACTGGAGAAGCAAGACTCTCCGTGGACACAAAGGGGCCTGCGTAGTGCATTTTGCAACTTACGAAGAGTGATTTCTTAGGGTACGAAAGAACATTAGTAACCCACACAAAGAATAAAGGATGATATAAGGAACACCCATGTGACTTAAGAAGCAGAACACCCCTGGGTGTCCTTCCCCAATTACATCCCACCTGGTAAACTGAAGTTAGTGCTTCTTGGTCCCTTGATTTTCTTTATAGTTTTGTTACAGATGACTTTATTTCTTAAAAATATAGCTCCATGTTTTTTTTCTTTAATTGAGGTGAAATTCACATAACATAAAATTAACCATTTTAAAGCAAAAAAATCCAGTGGTACTTTGTACATTCACAATGTTAGGCAGCCAGCACCTCTATCTGGTTCCAAAAGTTTTTCCTCACCCCAAAAGGAAACCTTGTACCCATTAAGCAGTCACTTATCATTTCCCCTTCCGTCCAGCCACCAATCTGCTTTCTCTCTCTACTGACTTATCTATTCTGGATTTATCATTCGATATCTAGGCCTTTTGTGCGGCTTATTTCACTTTGCATAATGTTTTCGAAGTTCATCCATGTTGTAGCACGGGTCAGTACTTCACTCCTATTTATGGCTAAATAATAGCACATCATATGGACATATCGAAATGTATCCACTCATCCATCAATGGACATTTCAGTTGTTTTCACCTTTCAGCTATTGTGAATAATGCTGTTATGAACATTGGTGTACAAACATCTGTTCAAGTCCCTGCAATTATTTTGGATATATACCCAGAAGTGGAATTGCTGGATGATACAGCAATTTTATGTTTAATTTTTTGAGGAACCACCATACAATTTTCCATAGCTGCTGCACCACTTTAAGTTTTGTGTATGGTGTGAGGTAGGAGTCCATCTTCACTCTTTTGAATGTAGCTGTCCAAGTTGTCCCAGCACCATTTGTTAAAGAGACTATTCTTTCCCTTATTGAACAGTCTTGGTGCCCTTGTTGAAAATCAATCGGCCATAGATGTCTGGGTTTATTTCTGGACTATCAATTCTATTCCATTGATCTATAAGTCTCTTTACGCCAGAACCACTGCTTTGGTTATTGTAGCTTTGTAGTACATTTTAAAATCGGGAAGTGTGAGTCCTCTAATTTTGTTCTTCTTTTTGTCAACAGGGGGTATTCAGGGCTCCTTGCAACTCCATGTAGATTTTAGGATGGGTTTTCCATTTCTTCAAAAAAGGTCATTAGAATTTCAACAGGAATTGCATTGAATCCGTACATTGCTTTGAGTAGTATGGCCATCTTAACAATATTAAGTCTACCAATCCATTAACATGGATGTCTTTCCATTTATTTAGGTCTTTTTTCATTTATTTCTGCAATGTTTTGCAGTTTTCAGTGCACAGGTCTTTCAGCTCCTTGCTTAAGCTTATTTCTAGGTGTTTTATTTATTTATTTTTTTGGGCAACTACCATAAATAGAATTGTCTTCATGTCCTTTTAAAATCATTCATTGCTGGCGTAGAGATACACAACTGATTTTTGTGTACTGTTCTTGTAAGTCCTGATGTTTTTGAGCTTAAATTGTATGTATTATTTGGAGACTTGCTTTTTGTGCTAAGCGTTCTATTAGAATTATCCATGGTGATACACACAACTAATCCATTTGTTTTTCTCTATTGCACGGTATTTTACATATGGATGTACCGCAAATTTATCTCTTCTCCTAGTGATGAATTGTGATCTTAACTTGTATTTCCCTAATTAATGATTAGGTTGAGCATCTTTTCATATTTATTGGCCATTACTTTTTTTTTTTTTGTCAAATGCCTACTTGCATCTGGGCCCTTATCTATGCATTTGTATATTCTGCATAGGAATAATTTGGTTGCAAATACCTTCTCCCAGTTTGTTGCTTTCCCTATCACTTTATTACAAGGTTTTGATTAACACAAGTTTTTCATTTTATTGTGGATGCATTTCTTCGATCTTTTCCTTTATAATCTGCTTTTATGGGCGCCTGGGTGGCTCAGTTGGTTAAGCAACTGCCTTCGGCTCAGGTCATGATCCCGGAGTCCCAGGATCGAGTCCCGCATCGGGCTCCCTGCTCAGCAGGGAGTCTGCTTCTCCCTCTGACCCTCCCCCCTCTCATGCTCTCTATCATTCTCTCTCTCTCAATAAATAAATAAAAATCTTTATAATCTGCTTTTATGTAGAAAGAAATCTCTCCTGACCTTGAAGTAAACAGGATAGGCTTTTGTTTCTTTCTAAAAATGCTTAAAGTATTACTTTTCATATTTAGATCTTTAATTCACATGGAATTGATTTTTCCGGTACGATGTGCAGTAGAGGTCCAATTTCATTGCTTTTTCTTATGGTTAACTCATTTTCTTGGCATGATTTGCCGAACAGTCCATCATGCTGCCCCTCTCTCCAACTGCAGTGCTCCCTCTGACAAAGCCACAGTTCTGTGTGTAGGCCAGTTTCTGGCTTCTCTGTTTGATGCCCCATTTGTCTGTCTTTGGACTTACATCAGACTCTCTTAGTCTCTCCATCTTATTCCTCAGGAGCATCTTGACAATTCAACGTTAGTGGTTATATGGGTGTTCACTATAAAATTCTTTCCATTTTTTAGTATGTTTGAAATTTTTCATACAAAAAAATATCTCAGGAAAGAGTGTCGTGGCTTATCTGGCCTTTGCCCTTTTATCAGGATACAATTTTTAAAAGGCTCAGGTTTCAGACAAGGCAATTCAGCAGCAGCCACAACCCTTGGAGAAAAAGATGAGTTTTAGGACAGTGTGTGGACTTCTCACATTCCTGTAGGCATCTGAGATTATTTGTTGGAGATGAGGCAGTGTTGCTCTAATATCGTGCCCGTTTCACTACCCAGAAAAGTGACCTGCCTGAAGACCTAGCCTCTGGGCCCCCCTGAGGAGCCGTGTCTGGCCTGCTTGGTTTAGGCAAACGTCCCCAGCCCCTCTTTCTGCCCCTCCGGGACCCTTGCTTCAATCTCCCCCATCGGCTTCCCACGCCAATCTCTGTCTGGTTCTCTGTCTCCTGGAGTTCGGTCTGGCGGAGAGACGGAAGCCCAGGGAAGATGCGGGTGTGACTTGACTAAGGCCACACCGAGTGACCGTAAGGCTGGCGCACAGCAAGGGTCAGCCAGCCGCCAGGCCACCACACGTCCCTTGTTCCTGCCCTTCCGGGGCCCAGATCGTGCCTCCGCCTTCCCATGTCGCCAACTATCTCCCTCGGTCTCCCCTGCTCTGGTCTCCGCCAGTCTGACAACGCCTCAAGCCGTGTGACTACCTCCTCCCGGGCTCCGCCCCACTCCCGCCGCCACGGCCGCTGGCGCCGGAGTTCTCCGCGTCCACCAGGGGGCGCGCGCGGCCCTGTCTGGGCGCCAGAGCCGCCGAGGACTCCCGCCCCCCGCCTCCC